GATGAATTCCATGTTCTTATTATTTGTATTCTAGAGCAAGAAGAAGCTCTTTTCCCAAGCGTCAAGCGTCATGAACATTCGAACGGAAACACAGTGTTGAACGGTAAATCATTATTAAATCTACTCAGCATGCAAATATATATACAGTATATTGCCATTGTATTATGGGCCGGTGGCCTGAAGTACCGAATAAATTTGTCTGTCTGTCTGTCTGACAATTGCTGAGTTTGGAGTTTGGAACAACAAACAACAAACCAGTTGTTCATCCCACGGGTATAGGTAACATTCATATGTGTGTTGTCCACGTTTTTATCGTGAGTGAGTGAGTCGGGTTTTAACGCCGTTAGGAACACTATTTCAGTTACATCACGTTGTGTCAGCTTGGTCTGATGACAAGAGAAGTGACGTAGGTGTCTACCACATTCGTCAAACCTAGCAGCACGGTTGTGGTGCGGAAAGACCTACAAACATAGCACGGGCGAAAGGCATTCGAACTCCCGATCATAGATTTCTGGCACGCCAAAGGTTGCATATCAACACGACGAAATGCGACGCCTAAGACGACCGATCTACCACGGGTTCACATCCATAGAAAAGTTACGACCTATTTGCAAGAACAATGTTACCGTGATATTATATGAGGGAGCGCTTGAGTTTCACACACGTCTGAAACAGTATGTCGACAATATCACGAAGTGGCAGTTTAATTTGAGGACAAAACCAAAGCTGACGCAGATCTAGGATCAACCTGGGATTCAAACCCACAACCAACGGTTTCTTGTTCGAGGTAGGGCAGAACGTGATCCTACACACAATGAAATCCAATGGTAACCAGTTCAAGCCATTATAGCAGCAGCCAGTAGCCCCATTGACTATCTTATTCGACTTTTATGAGCATGTCTAACATCTGTGTTTCAGTTGTGACGCTGAAGACTAGTGACCCCTGCACTGTGACCCCAGTGTTAATGAATCCCAGCATCCCCTTGGGCCCGGAACTCTGCATAAGTATCATAACACTATCACTTCCGGTGTCAATTAGACAAAGCCATATTGTCTTCCTGGTCTGACGTGCACAAATGGCGGTTTCAATTGCAGAGACATGGAGATAACGCACAATGTTATCTGGTATCAATGGACATGACGTTATTTTCAAGTTGAAGGGGGCACATATCTATGAAAACAGTAATGATCATGTCCAACATAGCACATAGCCTGTCTCACAGTCCCTGAACCATATTAATGTCCCATTCGCCCAACCCTTACTGCAATGATCTAGCCTTATACAAAGTAAGTCTAGATTTCCCCCAGGTCTAAATCTGCCATCTCACTGAGATATCTTTTCAATTTTTATATAGTTGCATGTTTCATATTCTCAGAAACAAGTGTTAGTATAATCATATCACACGGGACATCCTCTTGACGCGGACTTAAACAACGCATCGCGCAACAAAGTCTATAAACCAGTATAGGGATAAGGATATATAACTGTGGATTTTACTTACATTTTTCTTTATAATCCTGTCATATTTAAGTTTCAACCTGTTGTCTGATTCGCATATCAATTCTAGGTTTATGAGTTTAGATGTATGTTATGCCTGGGAACGGTAATGACTATATTTTACGATATTGTTTTGATAAAGAATTACTTGGTCGGAAAATGTGTCACATGTAGGTTGATGCGAGACATTCTAGCACGACTTTGCTTGTCAGCCAACTATATTTTATGGTATAGAAGAGACCAATTCCTCCTAACAGTCACAACAAATATCAGCTGAAGCAGAATGTACGATTCCGAGTATATCATTATCATGTGTTATAAAGTCACTATACAGTAAACTACGGTTATAACGAACACGCTTTAACGAACTGACGGATATAACGAACTTACTGTTTGGTCCCGACTACTTGCTGTAGTCATGCTGTATATGTACTTATAACGAACAAAGGTTATAATGAACTAGTCCCTTTGAGTTCGTTATAACCGTAGTTAACTGTATATAGTGATGATGCCTGGAGTGCCGCGTTTTACTTACTAGTGACTGTACTTTAACGTAGGATTGAACGAATAAAGAATTCTGTGTCTCTGTAATTAAATCACGGTTCAGTCCATCGATAACTGCACAATGAAATAAGTATTCATCACACACACACAGGTATTCATAAAGTAAGTATAACGAAGTACTTTAAAATGACATCAATCGACGAAACCAAACCAGCCACAAAACTTTCATATCCATCAATGTCACATTAACCAAAGTATTGCCAGGAAACCCAATTGACGCATTTCTAACCCACCATGCGTTACCATGGATACTGAAAAATCATATGTTATCTAATAGCATCTTATTAGCCATGCTGTGTTGCAATTACCCATATGTTCTTTAAAGTTAAAACGTAATGAACATCCTGGAAATATAATTTTGTCATAACAGGGGTTGATCAATCACTTTCTGTTTTAAAGAGCAACTGATAGTCGTCAACACGCATCTCTACATTTTCACAAATAACCAAGAGCAATATTTCGTCCTCGCCCTAAAATAAATTGTCTGATCTGTAGGCAATTTATAAAGATATTATGATCAATGTGCCTAAGAATAGGCATCCCAGATACGCTATTGCTTGACCCTAACCCGACAGTGCACGGCCAATGCCCTAACAATAGCCAGTAAAGGATGACTCAAGGCCTCTAATTCAATCACTCGCCCCCTATTATCTGTGATCGTATGGTGTAGAATTAAGACGACACCGCCTTATTAAACTGACTGAACAGAGCCCGCTCTGTGTGCCCTCGCGTTGTAAAGGGCGTTGTGGAGGGTTGTTGAGGCAGTGAAAGGTTCACTGATAACCCTCGGTGTTATACTATAGTGATGACATAAGATGGGGATACAGCACGTGCCCCACGTAGCATCGGGGCTAGTCACGTGTGACGTATAGAAATACAGAGAAAATTACTGAAAAGTTTCAGCGACAATGGAAATATCGGGTCGCTCGTTGTTTTTGATACAGGAGACAAGTCTACATTCGGTGGTTAAGGATAACATTATGAGTGCGGCTTTAACTCACGCTCTAAGTAATATTATTAATATTATTTAAAAGGCGAGAACGGGTCTTGAAATAAGATCCATAAAGTGTTTCATTCATATTACGATTCTAGCACAAAATAGAAAGTGTGTAGCCTTAAATATAAGATTAACGTCAAAAGAACCAGTCTCAACCAATAAAGATGCCATTGGTCGTTAAAGGCAGAACAGCTAAACAGTATATGATTGGATCACTGAACATCAGTGATGACACCCCGTGTTCCCGAAACGGTTAAGCATGTCCTGCCCTACCGGCAGAACCCTCCACTCACACAATAACTCATATTATGAAACTAAACACGTAAGCTAAAGAATAAATCTGTCACATTCAAAATAATGATTCTTTCGTCAAAGTCAAATCAAAACTGAACCCATTGACAACATGACTATACAGACGCTGTTATATGAGTTCTCATGGTTAACGGATTGTATTTGTTTCCTTGTCGAGTAATGAACATTTCCGAGTTTAAGCTTCCGTAGATTCATACGAACAAAGGGTTTGATTTCCCTGAAAAATTAAATAACTTCATAGACATTAAGGAGCATTAAGTTTGACCAGTCAGTCATACTGGGACCTTATGATGAACGAAGGGGGTGCTTTGAACCAAGTCACAGGATCGTGTGTGTTTAGACTGGTGGGCTAGGTAACATACACATGTATTTCCAATAAACTAAACCCTTTGGCATTCTGCCTTAATGTACAAGTGTAGACGGATGGGCTTGCTGTAAGACTCGCCGGGCTGGTAGATAAGTAGGTTAAAAATGTGTCAGAAATCGGTATCGAGTACTTCCGAAGTACTAGTTTAACAGGCTTTGGTGGTGATGTGTATAAAAGGTATGTAAGGGGAAAGCTTATAGGCTCCAGTGTTGTGGTTCTACAGCATTGAGGGTGATTGCTGAATAACTTGCAATGTGGTTTTATCTGTTGCGTGTGGATACAGATGCATGTATTCCTATGCCTTGATAAACGCAAAGTGATCTAAGTGCAAACCCACTTTCACAGAACCGTATCAGTGTTTGTATGTGTAACGGTTCGATGTTGCCAGTCACAACATTGTCGTAGGTAAACCACTGCACTTATGTTGGGGGGTGGGTGTGTGTGTGTGTGTGTGTGGGGGGGGGGGGGGGGGGGGGGGCAGTAAACGCTCTCTACCTCCTATCCTAACAACCAACCCCCTTTCCCTGGTTCGCTCTCTCCACTCCTCAGTTGGCGACGTATCAGGAGATCGTTAATAGGAGGTGTGCCCCATGTAAATGCACATTGATTAAGGAGATTATGAGTCAGACAGGCCTGGCGATATTGTAACTGTAGTCATCTGTATCGAACACATCAACCCACGTGCCCCATTACACACAGACACCGATAGTTCAGCAACCCTCAGCCATAAACAGGCTCAATGCAGCAGATTTAAATACAGACATTGCATAGTGGATGCATATAAACTGATAAGCCTAAACGATATAGATTTACCTTCAATAGTTTACAGTGCAAACAGCAATATACGTCACAAACTAGCTTTTTTGTTCATCCATCAATGAAAGTGTATTATGTTAAGAACGATTATCATTAATATTTCATATAAATAATAATAATATGGCGGTAAGGGCACCAGGCTAGACAGTCACTTACACAAAAGGTTAATAATAAGATACATTAATAATAAATTAATTTTGAATTTAGATTTGTCTGATTTCGTTAGATTTGATACGATATGATCAGACATTATTGATGATGACACGTTTTGTAGACGATTTGATTTAAAACATTTGAAATAACGGAACATAACTTTGCGGTACAGTGACATTCATAGGGGAGAGCTAATTCGCGGCCTGGGTTATGGTTTGAATGAATGAATGAATGAATGGTAAAGAATTGTAAAAAAATATAAATATATACATAAGTAGAACATAATGACTCACCACAGCTTTACTTCTCATTTCCTTGTTGTGTCTCTCTGTGTTAGATATGGCATTCGAGTATCCAAACAAAACCACTAATATACATAACTTTAGCAAGATGAAAGACATTGCAGGTAGGGAGAGTTTGTCGACGGACGAGAGTGGGGAATTACACCTTGGCTGTTCTGACCGAATACAGCACGATGCAGCACGTTTACAACATTCGTCCATATTGCTGCATCGGACACACCGGCTCCTTGTGAGACAACTGGTCACTCGGTATCCAGATTCCATCATATCACTCGTTCCTATAAGACCCAGGCTACTCAGACAAAGGTAAACAAGTGATGAGGCAACTTCCAAAGTCCGGAGCAACGATCTCAGTTTGAGTATGTTTCCGTCTCTCGAGCTCAATCAAGGTTCCGGCTTAATCCTAATCCGACATTTTGCAACAGCACTCTGCCCAACCTGTGATGGGATTAACCCTTGCTAAGTCCTTCTCTCCATATGGGGGAATTATTGTCAAAACTCCCGTCCACTCCCTCGCTCACAACTCCAACTAGACCAGCACCAGTCGGCGCACGCTCCGTGTGCCGGGTCTAAATATAGCCTGGCAGGAATCTACCGACTCTCTGCGCCTCCGTCTTTGAATGTGGGGAAATTGAGCGAAAAGGATGTAGGGCCAGAACGTGGGCTGTGTGTTCAATCTAACTAGCCGTCTTTCTAGATCCGACCCAGTTAATACACCGCGCGACGTTGAGGTGCAACACTCTCTCCCCACACAGCTGCAGGCACAACCCTCTAAATATGGTAGCTTGGCACTTCCTGTGTTCCCGAGCAGACGACTCTCACTGCAGTCGACAGAAGCAGACGATCGTTGGGCCTAGGACACGGCTCGGCTAACCAGCTGAATGAACGGCCAGCGATCTATGTCTGGTCAATTAACACGGACACAAATCGTGATACATTCTGCGTCAAGGCATACAGGTATTGCTATGTACATTGAACCCTCTATAATCCGAACTGACTACTTAACTGCATCCGGTCCCGAACACCTGATTGTATGCGCCAAATCATAAGCGTAATGGCACTGTCAGACTCAATAAGTATCTCTCTAACTACAACTCGCTTGTGTTCATTTCCTCACATGACTTTACCTCCCACCACAACAGGTAAACAACGGCTATAGTCTATATCACTATCTATAGCGACGGGCCAGGGCCACATCTGGTTTGTTAATCTCGCTTGACTCGGACGCTGAGACCTATGTAACAGCGCGACTCGGGAAAGGTCGTGTGCTACAATATTCATTCAACCTGACGCGATTGTCCATGGTTCTTCCTAGATTCTGCGGTGAGCGAGGGAGTGTTGTTACACTGGCGTGAGTCATCCAGCTTGGTGACAAATTCGGTCGATTCCACGTGGAGGCAAACAGCACAGATGTACGGTTTACGCTGTCTCGAGTACTCGGCTATAAAAAAGACATTTCTTTGTCTCATCCACGGTCAGCGGTTGGTTCCATTATACGATGCCAGAGGCCATTCTTACCATTTGGTAATATTGATTCGTTGGAGAGATGACATATATGTCAACAATACTGTTTACATATTTCTTTCCAAATGTCACGCAATTCACTCATGTGGCGCTCTCATTTACTTCATATATTTTAATACATAATTATCTATTGACACATTTTGTGTGTATTTTTATGAATTTATAGAGAAATTCATACTTTATTGTATTGGAAAAATATACCAGTTCCCATTCCAATATCTGATGCTTATATTGGTACACTTTCTTTGCAAATGTCATGTTCCCTTATTCGTCTTTTAATACTCGATCTGGTGTCCCCTGCTGTGATATTGCTGGAATACTACTAACAGTGGCGTAATACCCTTCCCATTAACCCACTTTCTTCTACCTGATAAGTTCATTAAATAGATAACAACCAACTAAACCATCCCTAAAGAACCACCCAGTTCATAAAAATGAAACGGCTCTGACAGACGATGCTTGTTTATGCATTAATAACTACCCCCGTAGCTAACTCTTTTAATACAAAAAACGCCTTTGTGCAATCTATTACAAAAAGATTCCGATATCAAAGAGCAGCAAAACAAACCATTCTGTTTGCGTATAATCAGTCATGGTTCGCGGCACAGTTGGTAGCCTTGGCATGAACGTAATATCGATCCGTTACCATAGTAACGTTTGTATCAGGCCGCATCTATCATGTACTCCGGATTAATCGAGTACCGAGCAATGGGTTTAATGGCTGATAGACTGGGTTCTGTCTTGTCATTCGGACCAGTCTGGCCACGGCATGAATTATTAATATGGATAACAAGGCAATTACTATTCTGTATAGCCTTCATACGTATATACTAAATGAGACCAGGTTATGACATCAGTACATTCCTACATAATAGATTTCGCCGTGTTTTAAATACTTGGGGAAATACTTATACATCGAGACCGTGTGGGGGTCACGGAATCCATAGATCAAGTTATTTATGTCATGTTAATTGAAAATATTCATCAACTTAGAAATTCATTATATTTCACGATGGCGTGTCCTTTCCGTAACTGTCATGTCACAGTAATAATGGACTGAAATAATCACGTAATTGAGTGTAATTGCAGTATACTCGGCTTCATAATAAAAGAAAAACTGCAAGCACGTGAAAGATGATTGATATCACAAAAATATTTTATTGTCTCATCATTCATATAATAGTCTATATATTAACCATCTGTGGGTTGATTGTAGACTACCACATCCTGTAAAACACATCAATATCTTTACCACAAGACATTTTCTTTATTTCTAATGACTTCATGTGGAATATTGCTGGCTTGATTTTTTTATCATCTCGACCTTTTATTTTATTTAAATAAAATTCAGTAATTCCGCAGTCATTATTTGCGTGACGAAATACATTATTAATACAACGACTAACTGCCTATAAAGATTTTCACTAACTATATTTCAAAATTCACGTCGAAACTAGACAAATACGTGACATTTATTTTTACAGCAATGATAATTTCATGGCGGTATAAAAACACCCAACTTGAATTGATAATAACCATCGAGAGAGCAACGCGCTGTAAAGGAAGACAACCCGTTTGCTTATTTAGAAGAGGGCGTCAAAGGAATATCTACACCATGCTATTCTAACTCGCTGTGTTAGCAAAAGCGGGATGTCGTTCACATCGGTGAAAACAAAACACGGCCATGTTGGAATGACTTGTAAATTTTCCTAAAGAAACAGACATCTGTAAATCTGTGAAGGCAAAGTTGAGTTTCTACATCCGTGTTTATATTGCCATTTGTTGTCGGAGCATCTGGAGACCATGTGGTGACAGGTCCGAGATGAGGGTTTGCACTCTAAAACCACAACCTTTGTTGGGGATAAAATTAAATTGCTAAAAAAACAATGGGCCCCTTGTCCGCACTCGGCCATGTGTCGACTGTGATTGCAGGACACGGAGAAGGTCTTTTGTGCAGTGAAGCGGACAACTTAATTACCGGTCATCGTGCAACCAGTAATGATAGTAATTAACTTTGTATTGTACTCAGTTGCCATAATTGTATTATTGCAGTAATTGTAATAATATTTATGCACCTACAGTTCCAACACTAAACAACCATTTGTTTCACTTGAATTCGCGCTGTTGAGTCAAATTAATTTGCTTTTGGTAATTGATAATTTCGTTATGGGATGGACATGGTGATATGAACCATTCATGTGTGTTTTAATATCGTTGCCGATTATGAATCTTGGAGTTTCTTTCAATAAATATTCTAAATCCGATAAACAAGCCAAAGGAAAATATTTGAAAAAAAACCAGTTAAATTATCTTTATAACTAATAATAAAATAGAGCCCAGAGATTCTTCATGATCAGAACTGCAGTATTCCCGCTTGCCAGCTTTTATAGACGTGCATGGGATGAAATGGATATACATGTATTTATTTCAAGGTCTGTATGACAGATTAGCTATATAACACAACTTCGATTTGTCTCGAACTAAAGCTCCACAACACCCTTCTACTCCTAAACATCGCTATATAAGTGCAATAATGTTGAACCCGACGTTAAACCCCATTTAACCCCACCCTCTTCCCCTAAAGATAGATGTTTGGCCTCTCCGAAGATATGACGCATACGGCTGTGTCTATCTACTTCGTAATATTTGTTTCAAGTTTTATTGTCTCTCATGGACTGGGATGGATGTACGCTGTCACAATAGTTTAACATTATTAATCAGCTCCCTAAGGGATATTGGTTCTTCGCGTGGCGTTTCAGCTCGGATGCGCCATCGATTGATAAACGAGCCATTTTCATTAAAGGTAATCTCCTTATCGCCCGCCCTTTCAGAATCTGAGTTTAACTTGACCAACGCACCCTATGGTTATTGCAAAATTCAATCAAAATGCTTGATGACCAGTACGCTTTGGAGAAAATTGTTCTTTAAGGAGACATTTGTTAAATGAATGATAGAATTTACTTCATAACTTCGAGTTTCGGGTTTACGTCACTTTTAGTTAGAAATATCACGATGGGGACACCATGGGGCTTCACACATTCAGCTCATATCGGAAATCGAACCTGAGCCTTCAGCCCAACGAGCCGACGCTTTAAATAACCACTGGGCTACACCACTGCCCCCTTAGTACAATAGTATGGACCAGACGCAGTGTTTCCCAGTCTTTACGTCACGTACAATACACGAAATGTATCTCAGAACAACGTTACGCTATTTATTATCTTGTCATATGTTAACATCCCTCAGATTATGTCAATGATATCTCATAAATACAACTTAAATACCAAGATTAAAGACACCCTTCTCCTACAAGACTATCCCTTACGAAGCAAGTGCTAACATATTTGTATATACCTCACCTCACCTACATTCTACCTGCTTGCCCGGGGTTAAACAATCATCACCTGCGCTATTGGGGATGTCAGCAACAGCTTATACACATCCGTAGGTGTGTTGGGCAATGTCCAAGCTACAGCTGCCCTCCCTAAGATGGCAACGCCTGCACTGATGAAACGGGCCATCATGTCTTGGGGGAACTGTCCACAACCCGAGTGGCTACTTATGTCTGTTTGCGTGTGGTAGATCTGAGTAAGTAAGTAAGGTAGATCTGACCAGAAGAAGCTTTACAGTTTCTGGAACCATGCCTCTTTTCCATAAATCCCGAGCAATAAATGGCCGCAAAGGAAGTATGGTGTTTTTGTACCACTTTAGCGTTATATCAAGTTCGCGTGCCGGATTTTAAGGATATACGCCTGCGTGTATGGCTTTGTAGTTCCAGACCAATGTTATCAATGTAAGGTGGTCTCCAGCTCTACACGACAGGAGGCAGGGTCTTGTGTTATTCCTTGTGTTCACACAGGCCGTCTGTCTCCTACCTCGACTGATGAGATTGTAGCAAGACGCCATGACGATATCCGAAGGGTTTCTCTTATCAAAATATGTTAACCGAGAAGCTCCATGTCTCCTGGAAGCTTGGGGCTGTCTTACATAATGTTATTATTTCGTATTCAGCAGTATTAAGTCTTTGATAGAGACGCGATTGATGTTAGGTCTGGTATTAACGAGAACTGATCGTAACGTATATATCTTGTCAGAAATGTAAATAATTTACAGAAAAAACAGTTGCTGAACTACTTCTTTGTAATATAATTAAAATGACTCTTCATTTTCAGAAACTAGAATAATCTAGACTTTCGAACTGTCATAGACTTGCATGGGCTGTATATGTTTGTTCCAAGGTCTGGCTCACAGATTAATCGTAACGCAATGCTTGGGGAACGTTTGGGAGCGGTATGGTAGCCCCAAAGTCTGAAGACCCAGGCCGATTCACGACATAGGTACACAATATTTGAAATCTAGTCTTGCCCGTTTTAATATGTCCTGCGTATAATTATTGCTATTGGAACCATTACCACCAACATCGTCTTCAGCATACGCTGCATACCAGGAGGATGTTCATTTGGCCTCACCACCAATGTACTGGACATCTTCTGTTAAACTTTGCACACCCATTTCCCCAATTTAAAGGTGAAAATGACTCTTGCGCAAAATGCAATAAAGCTCTTCAAACCAAATTTAGGAATATATTTCTCATTGAAAATGATCAAGTAAACACGGATAGATATGTTTCAGCAGTCAAATGTAAATAACATAGATTCGCTCTCACTAATCTAGAGATTGAAAGAGGCAGATCACTAACACGCTGTCGACCAGAGTATATGCAAAATATATAAACTGACCAAGGTAGAAGATGAAATAACTTT